GGATGTAGACCCATGTTCATTGAATTGTCAAAGTGAAACATTTTGTTTTCTTTTATTAATTCTTTTTGTGTTCTGTGCATCCATTTTCTTTTTTGAGATGTCAAACACTTATTCTGACAAATGAATAAAGGTAGGTGAGTAATTACCAAATAATCACTCACTAAATATATGTATACAAATATATATACTTGAATGTGGGATTATGTCCAGATTAATAATTATTAATCGTCCAGCGTATTTCATCAGATGTAATATTCAACAATTATTGATCATTGTGTCTTTTTATCAAGTGTAAGTGTAGCATCAAATAACCTTAAATATAATAGTCTTGAAATTTGATTTAAATAGATAGTAAAATGTACTTTTGGGTTGTAAAATATCTTTGAGAATCTTTGACACAACATGGGTTCGTTAAACCTTTTCATTTTTCAATTCAATTTTGCTGAATTTTCAATTTGAGACAACATGGGTACTAATAATGCTTTATACTTTATAAATTGCAATGTTAAATTCGGCGTGTGATTGGTTCATCATCTTTAGTACATGAAATCATTATCTTGAATATTTTATGATTGGCATTAGATGTTATTTCGAGCTAAAATGGAATTAGTGATACTATAATCATCAAAAGTTGTAACTAAATAAATATGTTATTTTTTTGTGATGTTACTTCATTTTTTTTATTGTCACTGATAAAAGTGACAATTTTTTTTATTGTCACTATATAGCGTTAGTGATACCATATTAGTAACAACCATAGTGACAATGTATTTGGCATAATTATGAGAAAATTAGTATCGTCACTCAAAAATTTATTTTCTTTTAGTGACTTGTCATTAGTGACATTAGTGAAAATCTCCATATAAACAATTGTGTTTTACCACACAACCCCTAAAGGTTGATTAAGGTTGTTAATTGGCTAAAGAAGTTGAAACAAAGGCAATTTTGCTAATAAAATGAGACTTTTTTTTAAACGTCAATTGAGTAAATATAGGTGTGCCAAATGCAATAAACATATACACTAGAACCTCGATAAATTAATACTCAATAAATTAATAATCTCGATTAAATAATAGTTTATTCCGATCCCGATTCAGTAAAAACGTATTAAATTATTAACTCGATAATTTAATAATTTGCTAAATTAAAACATGTATATAATTTTATCACGCCAACACATTTTAAAACTAATTGGGCAATAAATAAAATAAATTTTGTAGATATTATAAGGGCATATTACAAATAAGCCCATCAGTGGGAACTTATTCATAAAGAGATCCAGACAATATTCTCCTTTACCAATAAGTCCACACATGGTCCAGATTTATGTAAAGGACTAAAATAACCCCTCTTACTTTTATATGCTCCAATTTCATCCTTAACTTAATTTAACTTCAATTTGACCCCAAATTTCACAAATTATTCAATTTTGACCCAAAACTTTTTTTTTTCACAAAATTTTTTTTTTCAAAAACTTTTTTTTTCCGCCGGATTCCGGCGTTGACCGGCGGTCAACGCCGGTCTCCGGCGTTGACTTTTTTTTTTTTTTTTTTTTTTTTTTTTTTTCTTCCGGATTTTTTTTTTCCGGATTCCGGCGTTGACCGGCGGCCAACGCCGGTCTCCGGCGTTAACTTTTAATTTTAATTTTTATTTTAATTTTTTTAATTTTTCCCCCCGGATTTTTTTTTTCCGGATCCCGGCGTTGAATTTAAATTTTTTTTTTTTTTTTTTTTTTTTTTTTTTTTATCCCCCCGAATTTTTTTCCCAAATTCCGGGGTAACCCGGAGAAAAAACCCGGTCTCCGGTATAAACCGGGGAAAAACCCCGGTCCCCGGGGTAAACATTTTTAGAATTTCAAGAAAGCGATTTTTCCAAATTTTACTACCGGAAACTTTTTTTCCCCATCAAAAAAAAAATGTCCTTGAAAGCCAATAAAATGTACCCTTTTTAGGGGAAACGCAGGAAAAAATACTCAGCTTTTTTTTTACACCCGGGGTATTTGCAATTTTACCCCC